GCGCGCCCGGCGCCGAGCCCGCCCCTCCCAGGCCTGGCCCTGCCTTGCCTTCAGGACAGAAATAAACCCCTGACAGACTGCTGTCTGAATCCTTAAAGTTTCTAAAATTCATAAATCTCAGAGGTTAGAAATACGCACAGTATAAAAAGTTATATATAAACATGTGTACGATATAACAGCGCCCACTGCTGTGCCTCCTATGGGTCCGTTTTTAAAAAGCAATTTTTATCATGGCGTCCGTATTTTCAGAGCGAAAATTAGACCCTGGTGACTGTTTGCTGGAGGTGTTACTATGTTTGTGCATCGAGTCTTTTACAAACATAAAGCTAAGTCACGTTCAAAGGCTCTTCCGGCTCCTTAGTAAGCGCGCTGGTGCCCACGGTCGGTGTCCGGGAAGCCGGCCGCGCCTCCCCCGTGCTCGCTGGCAACGTCCAGCAATGCCAAGGACACTGGCCGCCCCTTCTGCACCCTGCCCTGCCCGGGCACCTTCAAAGCCATCGAAGAGTGTGCGGTGACAGACAGAGAACAGTGCACGAGAAATGAAAAGCCATCCTCGAAGGTCCGGAATCCAGTTTAACTCCACAGCCACTCTCCCGTCCGTGGTGTGCTTTTCAAATCCCCGACAGAGGGAGACAGCTCACGCCTCGCCTGGCACGTCCTGTCAGCCCGGAGGGCACAGGCGTGACCTGGGGCGGAGCGGGCGCCGCGGGAGGGCAGGCACAGCCCCAGGGAGAGCTGGAGGCCTCCCATATGTCGCCTCCGCAGCAGCAAAGGTGCAGGGTTCAGGGTGCGAGACGGCGCAGGCCCCTGGGTGCCCTCAGTCCCTGTGGGGCGGCGTGCGGAGATGTCACAGAGCGGCCGGGCTCTGGGTTAGTGCCGGGTGAGAGGCGGGGCGGGGAGGCCTCCTGAAGGAAGGGCTGGGGACACCTGCTGCAGAGCCAGACGCTTGGGAAATGCTCGGAGCCGGGTGAATGGATGGAGGTGAAGGGCGATGTTCCGGCAAGAGAGACCGCCTGGGCCGAACCGGAGGGGGGTGCCCGGGCGGCTTCCGGCCGGGGTGGGCTGGGTCACGCGGAGAGGAGAGTCCATGGAGGGGCACAGTGGGAGGTGAGACCGAAGGCCCCCAGGTCCCCAGGCGGGGGTTTCTGAGCTGCAAGCAGGATGTTCCTTGGCAGAGCTGGCGAACGCGGGATTTGGGAGGAGCTGTGGAATGGGGCCAGCGGTGACAGTGTGCGGACCGCACGCATGGTTGGTCTCCGCCCTGCCAGTTATCTGCATGTGGGTCAGCTTCCAACATCCGGAAACATACAAGCTCCACGGGGACCGTGTGGGGACCGCGTGCGCACCGTGTGGGCCGGGAGGAGCCCTGTGCTGGCAGGACGCTGCCTGCAGAGTTCACGCCGGCTGGTAGAACGCGGGGTTCCTTTCTCCCCCTCTCCCCAAGGCCCGCCCAGCCCTCTCCCGAGACCCCAGCCCGGAGGAGCCCTGCTCTGGCCGTCGGCCTCAGCCCAGGAGCTGTGGAATCACACAAGCACCTCTGGAGCCCTTTCCTTTCCTTCCCTTTCCCTTTCCAGGGGCAGGCGCCAACCGCCGGGCACAGCGAGCAGCAGGACTCGCTGCTTCTCTCCCGCTCCGCGCGGCCGCCAGGGACCCTGGGCGTCGGCCCGCAGCCCCGGCCTCCTCGCCCACCCCGGAGGGGCGGCAGCCTGTCCGCGTCCTCAGGCCTCCAGCGGCTGCCCAGCAGTGCCCTGGCACCTCAGTCGGGCCCCAACCAGCTGTAGCCGGCGGACGGACGGGAGAAGGGTTTGGCCTAGCCCTTGGCATCTGTGCGCTCTGCCGGCACCTCAGGTCTGCGGCTGGGCGCCATCGCTGGGGCAGGACGGCCGCATGGGAAGTGGTCAGGAGCCGTGGCCGGGCCCCGGGCCGCTGCACTGCTCGGGCACACGGCTCCGTCACCATCGGGGGGCTGGCCGCACGCACCTTCCAGCCGGCAGAGCCCCGTCCGCTCTGCTCGCCACGCTGAGCCCCTTTCCTTTGCATCCCAGAAGCACCAGCTTGGAAACCCATTGAAGAGAACACAGAGTTTATTTTTCATTATTTTTAAGTGGTTGTTTTTGTTTTAATTTGCACAGCTGTGCAGAAGAGGTAACAGGCGCTTTCGATTTTTAAAAATAATAAGGTCTCGCGACTTCACTTGGAGGCCACAGCGACAGAAACAGCCGACCAGCCAGAGAGCGGGGCTGGGCCTTAACCGGCCGCAGCCCAGCCCTGCCGGTGGCTCCTTTTCCCCCAAAGACAACACTGGGCCGTTCCCTGGTTACTTCACTGACTGCGGCTACCAAGCGGACGGGAGCGAAGCACAGCCATGGCGCTGGCAGCCCAGCAGCCTGAGAGCTGGGCTCTGCGGGGGAGGCTGGCAGGCAGGCAGGCCCGCGCCGGGAGCCCTGCGCCGCGACACGCCCGTCACCGCCAGGCCCAGGGCTGGGTTTCCTTCTCAAAATGCACTTTGCTCTCTTTGTAAGCTTTGTTATGTTGAGATGTTTCTAAAGAAAAGAGTTTATGTAATTATAAGACGAAGTGGAGTGAATTGTACAGCTGTTGTCATAATGACCTATTTCTATATAAAATAAAATTGTATGGATTGTCTGTAAATTATTTTGTATCTGAGACACGGTTCCTTTCCCAAATATAAAAGTATAAAAGTTTTCTTGTGTTTTCCTGTGAGTGGGCGTTTCATAATAAATTAACAAATCTGGACAGTTTCTTCCGGAGGCGGTTTCTGTCCATCAGTAAACTTCAGGATGTTTCCAAGGGAGACAGCCAACGGGACGCAGGCGACGGCCTGTGGGTTTGAGCTAAAACAGGTGCTCAGACAGGTCCCTGATTTTTCCATCAAATGTTGTGCCAGTAAAAAGCAAGGGTTCAGTTTAGAAATGACAGCAAAACAGACACACAAAACCAGAAGATGTGCCTGGAGGCACGTCGGCCTCGTAGACAGAGGTCACCTGCGGGGGTGACGAGGCCCCTGCCCCGTGCTGAGCTGTGGGCCGCCGGCTCCCACTGCTGGCGCTGGGCCCGTGTGTTCGCGTGGGACGGGCACGTGTCGTGAAGGGGCACACAGAGCCGCAGCGCACCTCCAGGCACCCATCCTCTCCCGTGACGCGTCGTGGTGCTGACACAGGGCGCCTGGCACGCTGTGACCGGGGCCCGGGGGACGGTGCTGCTCAGCAGCCCCTTTTCCACAGCCACGGGCCCAGAGGGTGAGCCCCCCTCACACATCCCGGGGCCCACTGGCTCCCTGTGAACCACGTCCCCTCCCAGGGCCGGGACCGGGTCGGGGGCCCAGAGGGTGAGCCCCCCTCACACATCCCGGGGCCCACTGGCTCCCTGTGAAACACGCCCCCTCCCAGGGCCGGGACCAGGTCGGGGGCCCAGAGGGTGAGCCCCCCTCACACATCCCGGGGCCCACTGGCTCCCTGTGAAACACGCCCCCTCCCAGGGCCGGGACCAGGTCGGGGGCCCAGAGGGTGAGCCCCCCTCACACATCCCGGGGCCCACTGGCTCCCTGTGAAACGCGTCCCCTCCCAGGGCCGGGACCGGGTCGGGTTTGAAAGGCTTAAGAGGCTGTCATACAAATACATCGAAAAGGAGTTTTGTTTGTCCCACGGTTGCTATATTCCTGGAAAAGGCTAAGTCTAAATTCTTCACGTGTCTTAGGATCACTTACTGTTTAAAGGAACCAGAAAGAACTTTTTAAAACCAGATGAATGACTTTGTAATTTAACTGGTTTGTAAACTGGAAGCTTTATAGGAAACTCTTCTGTAGAAGAGTTTGTATTTTAATGGGCTGTCAGGATCCTTACTTCTAAGTAAAACAAGATTTTTATTTTTTTTTAATTCTCGCCTGAGGATATTTTTTCCATTGCTTTCAGAGACAGTGGAAGGGAGAGACAGAGAGAGACAAACAGACAGAAACATGGCTGTGGAGACACATCAACTGGTTGCCTCCAGAACGCGCCCCAACCAGGGCCGGGGAGCAAGCCTGCAACTGAGGTACGTGCCCCTGGCTGGGATCGAACCCGGGACCCGTCAGTCCGCAGACCAATGCTCTAACCACTGAGCAAACTGACCAGGGCTAAAACAAGATTTTTATGGAAATAGCATATTGATCACCCTAGGGTTTCTAGTTGGAGCCATAAGAACAGGGTGGCAAACGCCGTGCTACTTATTTAATCTGGCGCTGCTTAAATCTCACGCATGTTCACAATCTGGATAAACTCAAACTCTTACCGTGTAATATTTCTTTAGGCCCACATGGCATGAGGGGAAATTAATCCCATGCTTTTCTTTTTCTCTTTCCTTCTTTTAACCCCTAAGCTTTTTTTTTTTTTTTTTTTTTTTTTT